GGGAAAGAGCAATATTGTTGATAATGAGACAGTGGACCTTGAGCCACTGTGACAACGAGCTGCTGAGGGGGTTAAATTAGCATTAGTTAAAACCAAAATAAACCACTGTCTTCAACTGGAACTGTAAAAGCCATACAGATTTAATTGCATTCTCTAAATGATAATAGATGCAGAACCCATGAAATTATATACCCGAGATTTTTTTAAATAGCTTTGTGGTGATTATTTCCATATCACATCCTTTATCTTTTCCAATTGGAGAACCAAGTTTGTTTTGTCAGTGTTTGAGAAAATGAGCGAGCAACAGTACTATGTTTTTCATTCAGAATGTGTTCAGTGAGAGAAAGGTCTGTGAAGGTTAATGTCTGGGTATTTTTTTTCTTGCTATTGAGCTTATCACAGGGATCCAGTGGTGGGATGACAGACTGGTGACCGGGTTTGCATAGGTGTGTAGGGTGTGTGATCCTGCAAAAGTAGCTGACCCTGTGTATCGTGCCTTCTGATCCTTCACCACAGCTCTTAAGAAGAGAACGAGCGTCTGTCCTACAAAGTCATTTGAAAAGCTGAGCTAGGCCAAACTCCCCGAGATGCTTGGATGGGAAAGGTAAAAATATTCTGAGGGTTTCTTGCCTGGTGAAAATACAGAAGGTTATCCACAGCAAAGCAGTGTTCTCTCAGTCCCTGGGGTTGTGGTGACGGTTTTCCCTGTTTCTTGAGGAAATTCTCTTCCCTTGCACTTGGAAACTCAAATGTTGCAATTCCCTGCCCCATGTGTGACCGGCCCCGTGGGGCTGCAGGTTCTGTTCATCTCCTTTCTCAGCCTGCTCTGGGACTGGACTGTTACTGGCTTTTAAATGCCCTTAGTTCAATATGTACATAAAGAACTAATTACATTTTAAACCACAATAAAAGGAGTTAAAACTCCTTTTGACGGATGTTCTTTCCTTTTTCTTCAGCAGCTCATCAGAAACCTTCAGGATGAGTCAGTTGCCCTAATAAAGGCAATCTAGTGGTGTCTGCAATTTTGTATGGTATTCGAGACCCTGCATCAGACCGGCAAATGTGACACAGGGTGAAGGGGAAATTCGCACCTCTCTGCATCGGTGCCTTGAGGCAAAAAGCAGGGCACCCGCATATGTCTCCAGCAACAGTAGGTGCCTATGAGTAGGCACCTGAATTCCACCATAAATCTCTTCTAGTTCTGCCAACCCTTTCTCTTCCTCACTGTCCCTGTACTTACCATTGTGATGGTACAAGTTATAAGAGTATTTTTAATGGAAGGCTGAGTTCCTCTTCCAAGAACATAGACCGCGTTTTCTTTCTAAAGCTGTGAAGGCAGGTCTCAACTGTTCTTCTCATCTTCAGCTTTGTAGGTTCCCCTGCTACCTCAGCCTCACTCAACTTTGCCACTGTTCTTTCCTTTGCTGCACCTTTGTATCTAAAAACGCAATTTAAACTCCTTACGCTGCTGTTTTGCCTGCTCTATTGTATAACAGTGTCGATACTAAGTCCTCTTCTAAAGAGCACTTTGCAAACCTTGTCCCTAGATCTGCAACGCACAGAGATAGGTAGCTTTTTTTTTTTTTTTTTTACAAAAGTCCCGTGCTAACAATTTAATTCTCATGACTGCTGGCACGTTGTGTCTCCTACTAAAATTGCAAGATTGTTCTCTGTTCTCCCAGAATTTGGTAGTTATTGTTTATTTTGAATCTCGCATTTTTCTTTTGTCTCTCTGCATAGTTACACAGTAGTTTCTTGTGTGATGTTTATGACTGGCTTATGGATAAGTCCTTGGCAGCAGCATTTACCAGAACAGATGAAAGGAGTTGTAATGAAAGTAATGTTTACTGGTAAAAAGGGTTTGTCAGACTAAATATGTGCCTGTTTCAGCTGTAACTTTACTGATTTGTGGGTCCTGTAGTGACCGGAGAGACCCCCATCCAGGCCACGAGGGCTCTTCACAGGGTAGAAGGAAACTTTGCATGTAACTGTCCTCATCCCAGGTATTTCCATCACTGAAGACAAAGACAGCAGTATATCCCCTCAAACTTAGGTTTGTACCAAATTTTCAGTCTATCCTGCCTGACCATTAATTTATATGTCTCTAGAAGATAATATTTAGTTCTGTGGCATGCTGAAATATTAGGCTGTACTTTATTCTCTTGATTTTAAGATTATATGCTATGCAAGCTGGTTTAGATATTTAAAAAAAAAAAGTTTGCTTTGACATCTGTGCCTTTGAATGCCAGATATTTTGCCTTGATCCAGAAAATGACAGGGGCCAGCAGATATTCTTCTCACTGGAATGTGTCTTGTCAAAACAAACATTTTAGTGAGGGGAAGAGAAGACTGAGGTG